TGTAGGTAACAATTTGAAGAATTAAATATGTTTAATTATGTTAATTGTGATTTATTAGTGTGACTAATTTAATTTTTTTAATTAATCGTGTTTATTAAATATTTTCTCTTCTCCATGTTTTAAATAATTTCAAGAAATTTTAATTATTTTCAGTATCTACAATTCCATCATAAAAGTATGTGGGAATACATACTTCCCTCCTTTTCTTTTCTTTATACTTCTTTCTTTTTCTCATTTTTCTCTCGTTCTCCTATCTCTCTTTTTCTCTCGTTCTCTTATCTCTCTTTTTTTCTCATCCCTCCCCTGCGTTCTCTCTTTCCCTCGTCTCACTCTCTCCCTAGCTCTCTCCTTCCCTTCTCTTTTCTCTCAAAGTTTCACTCTCTCAAGGGGAGCTTTTGAACCAGATCTGAACCAAAGAGGATTTTTGAGAAGTTTTCTTCCTAAATAGAAAAGATTAAGGTATATTCTCTAAGAAATCTACTCTTGAATTTCAAATTTTCTTTAGTAAAACTTGATTTAAGCTTGATTTTGAGATGGATTTTGGTTAAAATTCATGATGGAATTTGAGAGTTTTTGATTCTTTGAACTTGATTTGATGATTGGAACTTGGTTTTGATGATTCCCCATGAAATTATCTTGAAATCGAACCCCAAAATGCATGATTTGGTATTGTTCTTCGAGATTCGGCCATTTTTCTCGGCCTGATATACTTCCACCAGTCAACCGGGGCGGTCGACCGGTCTCCACTCCATCGACCAACTGGTGGAGTTATTCTCCACTGCCACCGGTCGACCGGTTTGCCCTTCCTCTAACTCAAAAATGTCTTAAAAACTTGTTTTGACCCCGAATTTCAATGAAGAACCAACTTCATTCATTTGGAAACTCAAAATGACTGGATTAGCCACATCAATCATTACTCAAAATGAGGACTCATCTCAAACAACATCAACTATGTTGTTCGCTGAAAATGCTGAACGAATTCCCAAAAAAGTAAATTTCATTAATATTTACAGACAATTTGTTTAAATGATTAATCTTTTTAAATATTACAAATAACTATTAGTCTATTACTTACTGCAAGACAAAAGAGCAATATGAAAATATATATCTAGATATTCGAGTGAAAAACAGTACTTCAAATACTTAAAATTTTTCAAACTTGAATACCCCGGTGGCGCACAAGACGGATACACTATAAACAACATCATCGAAGCACCAAATGAGAGATCACCATTTGATATACCCGGAAAAAGAAAGGTATCTTAAACCGGAAATGTCTATACCATGCTATATGTTCGTAAATACATATATGAGACAACTGTTTTTATTTTATTTCTTTTTGTTATCCCTCTTTTACTTATTTTCTTGTTATATACAGTTGTAAAATATATGAACAAATATCACAGCTTTTTTGTCGTTATTAAACTGCCCTTTTCTTTTTCCTTTTTTAAAAATTTTCACCTTCTTTGTACCTAAATAATTAGTTTGCCTTTTCTTTTACTCTATTTCCTTCTTACAAATTCACCGAACTATATTCATAATGTAAAAACAAAGGCACGTGCAGAAGCACGTGCCACCATCCACTAGTAAGTATATAGTAAGTATAACTAGGGGTGTGCAACAAACTATTCAAATAAATAATCAAACTAAACCAAACAAAAAAAACCAAACCAAACCAATTAATACTTGCTTTGGTTTGGTTTAAATTTTTTTAAAAACCAATTAAACTGATTTAGTTTGTAGTTTTAACCTTTAAAAAATCAAATCAAACCAAACCAATTCAATTTATATTTTTTTTTCTAAAATTATATGTATTTTGTAGATCTGTAACGTAATCATTTATAAAAAAAAATGCGTTTATTCCAATATTAATGATCCTAACTCTAAAAGTTTCTATTATAAGATATGTTTATCATACAAAATATTAGTGCCAATTACGATTAAGAGGGTTTGAGAAGAGGTTGTAAAATATTAGTTCAAACCAATTAGAAAAATCAAACCAAACCAATTATAATCGATTCGGTTTAGATTGGATTAGATCTCTTAATTAGTTTGATTTGGTTTGAAAATCTCTAAACTAATTTGTAATTGGTTTGGTTTGCATTTCACTTAAAATAAACGGTTTGATTGGTTTGCACACCCTTAAGTATAACCCATTTAAAGAAAAAATATTTGACCATTCAAATAAAAATGAAAAATTACTTAAATATGGGATATATTTGAAATTATTTAATTGAAACGATTAGGAAAATAACAAAATTTATAAAGATAACATTTTAAAAATAATTATTTTCTAATAATTGTAATAAAATATTTGTAATGAGAATGCATGTGGAAAACTTTTATTTTTATAAAGACAAAGCAAATGAGAAAATAGATGATGAAAGACAAATAGAAATCTTGAAATATAACAAATGGATAAAATCATTTTGGTACTCTGTGTTATAGTGAGGCATGCTTTGATATTATGTGTTTTTTATATTATTAAAATAGTTTCTTGACATTTTTAAAAACATCCTCTTGGTACTCTGAAATTAATTTTTAGGATGTAAAAATGACCTTAGTATCATTTTATTTAATTAAGTAAAAACTAATAAATTTTAAAAAAGTTATAAAAATAATTTAAAACATTTGAGGTGTTTGGTATGAGGATTCGTGCCATAGTTCGCGGTTCGCTATAGTGTTTTCTCTCACAAAAAATACACGTAAACTGAAAATAGTTTTGAATTATGGTTCTAAATTCATGAACAAAACGTCAACTTAATTTTTGGAGAAAAACATATATAAAAAAATAAAAACAAAAACAAAAATATGTTCTTCTTCAGTTCTTCAACCTCAATCCAAATTAGAAAATGTGAAATCAAAAACAACTTCAACGACACAATTCAACAATACATCTTCTTCTTCTTCTTCTTCTTCTTCTTCTTCTTCTTCTTCTTCTTCTTCTTCTTCTTCTTCTTCTCTTCTTCTCTTCTTCTTCTTCTTCTTCTTTCCATTTTTTTCCCTCTAATGTCTCAAACCTTCCATTTTTTTCCCTCTAATGTCTCAAACCTTAACCCTCACCAACCTCACCAAGCTTAGCCTCAACGCCGCAATCCCTCTCCTCCCTACACCTTCGTCGGCTCATCTGACCCATGGAGAAATGGTTTTCAAGAGATGGGAAACGATCATCTCTGACTCTGTCACAACTTCCCCAGCGCCCATCACGGCCGCAATCCCTCTCCTCGCTACACCTTCGTCTGCTCATCTGACCCATGGAGAAATGGTTTTCAAGAGATGGGAAACGATCATCTAGACTAAAAAGACTGATTGTGGGACTATTGTTTCATAGGTTTATTTTTCTTTAATTCTGATAAGCCTTTACTTAGGCAAGTGTTCATTAGGAACAATAAGAGGGGGTAGCGGGTGGTTGAGTGAGGTGGCAATTGTTTGTTATGGTGAAAGGGGGTTCTGGTTGTTAGGAGGGGAAGTTGTTAGTTAATAAGGATCTTAGGTAGTTAGGAGGTTAGTTAGAGGGTATTGGGGGAATAAAAAAGAAGAGGGGAGCTGAGAGAAGGGAAGAAGTAACTAGAACCTTTTGCGGGAAAGTCTTGGAGAAGATTCCAAGCAAGGGGAGGATTGCAAACCCTCCAAGCTCTGCTATTAGCTGTATTACCCTAGTTCATCAAAAAAGATACACTTGGGTCTGTTTAATTCGTTGATTCGAGTTTTTAATTCGAGTTGAGATGTGATTTTTTGTGAAAGCTTTTTACTATAACAAAAAAAGTTAGATGTGACTCTGTAACAAAAAACTTAAATATGACTGTTTCTGAGAGCTTTTTATTGTAACAAAACTCGAATTTAAAACTTAAATCGGTGAAATGAACGAGACTTTTGGTTTCTTCCTCTCTAGCCTAATCCTCTACGTTCCACTGTGAAGGAAAATTGCCAAGTCTCACCAAATTCTTCTTTTTAACTTACACTAGAAATTGGAACATATTTTTTCTTTGTTCGTCAAGGTTGAATCTTAGGTTTTTTGCTGTCCTGAAATGAGAAAGGCATAAGAAAACCAGAAACTTAGAAAATCTTTGTTTTCTTCAATTTTAAATGTTTTAGAATATTTTTAGATTTTTTTTAAAATTTATTAGTTTTTAGTTAATTATAAATGGAAGGATACTAAGATCATTTTACATTTTAAAAATCCGTTTTAATATTTTTAAAAATATCATATATCAAAAACATGTTTCACTATAATACAGAATGCTAAAATAATTTTTATCTCCCTATAACAAAAGCTAAAATAAACTGAAATATAAACATAAATCTCTAGAAACTAGAGAAGCAATAACATTAAAAGCTAATAAAACGTTAACAAGAGAATGGTGCATCTGCTCGAGTAGAGAATGGGGCGGAGCAGTTGGAACTGAGGTGGCCTGGCGGTTCTGAGTTCGACGAAGAGTCCGGACTTCACTTGAGGCTGGGGCGACATTGCTTGGGAAGCCATTCTTCAAGACCTTGATTTCGTCACCATGATGAATCTCCAGCAAGTCGATGAAAATCCTTTACTGAAAGAGCGGAGGCCCTTCTTCTAGCGCAAATTGTTGGCGATGAACAACCGAGAAACCAAATCTTAGATACAAGACTTCGTTAGAATGGATCAAAACAACACAAAAAGCACAAAAAAGAAAAAAATGCAAACCAGGAAAGTAAAGGAAAATCGAAACGGGACTTTATTGATGAGGGTATAACCGCCATAATCTTCTCTCGTCCCAACTTGGATGTCCATCCTCGTCATGCGTGAGCTTGGCGGTAAGAGTCTTGAACAAATCGAGTCAATGGGACGGTTACTCGAGCAAGCTTCTCTTCGACGGACGCGAGTTCCTAGCAAGAAAAGCAGACCTGGGAATGAGGTGAGGAAATTAGGTGTGAGGGGAGTAAGAGATTTCACGTGCTTGTGAGGATCATTCCAAGTCCCCGGCTCGCTAGGTATGTGAGCTTATACACCCTTGGGTTCGTGGTACTTGTAAGTTTAATTGAGGGACAATATGTCTATCATACAAAATATTAGCATAAAAACCATCAAATGAGGAAACGACAATATTTTACAACAACAACAACAATTTGAAAAACTATTAGACTCTTTCTTAACGATAATATGTTTCTCAACAGATACATATATTACATAAGCTTTTTCACAAGCCACAACATAAAAACCAATGTCCACGCAATTTAACTCCTAAAAAATAGGACATGCATTTATTCTATTAGAGTGTGTGAAGCTTCGGATATACATCCCTGATCACACAGAATCTTTCGTGGGAACGGCCGAGACATTGTTGGCATTACCATCAGCAGAATCCTTCACAGAAGATACATTCCCCTCTTCAATCCTTTTCAAATGGGTCCCATCCCCTGCCCCCTTCTTCTCAGATTCCTTGGCAGTATCATATGAAGCATGCAATCCAAACAGGAAATAGTAAACCAATATAACCACAGTCCATACTGCAAACCTCTCAAAAGAAGCCCTGTCTATAGACCCAAGAAGGAACATGTTGATGGCAATTGAAGCTGATGGCAACCATGGCACCAATGGGACACCCCATATTTTAGGAGTCTTAGCTTGTGGGACAAAATACCAAAGCACAAAAGTGCCCAAAAACCAAATGGGCACAAAAACCGCATACCCAATCCAATCATCGGTACTGGCCCAGTACACCGAGATACAAATTGATGACCCAAGAATGATCGCAAGACATGAAAGGAACTTGATTTTGTTCACTTCTGACGTGACCTCGCTAACGTAATAACGTCGCACGAGCAAAGCTAGTGCGACGAGCATGAAAATAAAGAGTGTAGAGATAGAAAGAAGCTTGGAGAGAATGTCAAGGTCAGAGAAAAAGGCAATGACTGAAGTGGCAACCGTCATAACAACTGTGGCATTGACCGGAGTCCCGGTTTTCTCATTGACTTGTGCCAACCACGGTGGCATCATGTGGGTCCGGGCAATGTGGGTCAAGTAGCGGGCCTGGCCCACCGCCCCAACAAGCAAAACACTCGTCATGCCCTTTAAAGCCCCAGCAGCCACAACGTACTTGGCCCAACCCATTCCAACAGCCTCAAACGCCACGGAAAAAGGTGCATCTTTGTCGATATTTTTGTAGTTTTGCATGAGGCAGAGTGTTATAGCTAGCAAACAATATAAAAACGTTGTGACCAACATTGATCCCACTAGACCAATTGGGATGTCACGGCCGGGATTCTTGGTCTCCTCAGCCATGGTCGAGACAGCGTCGAAGCCGACGTAGGCGAAGAAGAGAACAGCGGAGGCCTTGAAGATGCCGCGAGCGCCGTAGGGGACAAATGGGGTGTAGTTTTTGGTGTCGGCTTTTGTTAGTCCTGCAATGATGATGAAGAGGATGACGATAAAGTGGACGATGGAGGCGATGTAGTTTAGGCGGGAGGAGCCCTTTGTGGAGAGGATGGCGATGAGACAAATGACGATGAGGACGGCAACGGCGATCAGGTCGAGGTGGCTGTAATCCGGGGAAAGGCCATGCGCATGGATGCGGAAATCGTTGGCGTCACGGTTGCAGAGGGTGGCGAAGTAGGAGGTCCAGGCACGGGCCACGGCGGCGCCGCCTATCACGTATTCAAGGAGGATGTTGCCGGCGGCGATGAAGGCCATGAAGTCCCCAAGCTCTACCCTTAGGTAGGCGAATGAACCACCTGCAATGAATGGAAATAAGAACATATAAGAATGTTTAATTTGTGAGCGTCATTAACTAGCTTCTGTTTGAGTTAATTTCCTCTTTGTAAAACTAAAATATATCGCTAGAAAGATGCATGCGAAATTATATATATAACACGCTATCCTTCTAGTTCTCATTATAAAATATCATGATACCTTCCGAAATCCCACGACCATGCATATTCTCAAACAATAAGACCAATTAACAGCAACAAACCAAAAATGTACATATAGACGCATATAGTTATATATTTAACTATATATGAACGAGTTTTTAATAGTTACATTTTTATTGGTGGTTATTTATTAAATAAAGTAATTTGATAAGGTGACGTGATAATAAGTTAATCTCATTAATTATAATACTTTTTTAACCAATTATCTAATTTATTACAACTATTTAATTAATATCTTACCGATACTCATTGATGGATAAATATATGTATCTTATATTTGTATCATATAACATTTGTATTTGTACGTTTATTCCCCCCAGAGACAGCCAAGAATCATCAAGCTAATGTTTTTAATTTTCTCTCTTTTTTCTAATATAAATATGTGTAATCTAACAGAGAAACACATAAGAAAAAGGAAAAAGAACAAGCTCAAAGCATTTGGCAAATTATTTAATCACGAAACGCAAAAAACTTTGTCCAAAAATGTTATCAATCTTCCTATTTAATGATTATAATTCACGAACAACCAGCTAAAAGACAGAAAACCGGCCCTAAAGCTCTTTGTAATTGTCAATTGTCACATAAAGTTGGATATACCTTGCTCATTTCAGCACAAGAAGACTAATAAATTCATTCGGAATCAACAACTAGAAATTATCTAGGGATTTAATGGAGTGTGGTCATTTGTTGGATATAATGGAATCTTTTTAGCGTCCAGCATTTGACATATAGTTATATGTCGTCTACTAATGGCAACAAGCTTTGGGTTCATTTTGGTCAACATATGGAAAACGACTTGTAGCTGTATATCAATATTTATGCAATTGGACCATATATTTCTGAGACCGAAACAAAATAGTAATTGGACTATTTAATACACCTTCCGGTCCACACATAACAATCTGTTAATTAGCTAGCTATTATATTCAGAAATATTCTTCAAGTTCATAAACTATGGAATTCTGGAACGATATCTATCTAGACTTCTTTAAAGCTTTTATGTAATTACGTGTGTGTGTGTGTGAATAATGAAGATGTTAAAAATTTGATTGCGCATACAATTCTTCATGATCGTAATTTTTGGATATTTGTTTTCTTTAAAACAATAATAATAAAAATAAAAAATTTGAGGAGATTATTATTACCTGCCACTGGGATCTCAACGGCAAACTCAGTGTAACAGAAAACAGAAAGCATGGCGGAGATGCCGGACACGACGTAAGATAAGACGACGGCTGGGCCGGCATCTTGTTTTGCCTCGAGACCGGTGAGGACGAAGATGCCGGCACCGACGACCGCACCCATGCCGAACCAAATAAGGTCCCACCAGTTTAGCGTCTTCTTCATCTCATGCTGACTCCGTGCCTTCATGTCCACCAACTCCGTACTGTCCATGGACCGGGTGGTAACCCGGTCCACAAACCGGGAGGACGTCTCTTTGAGCGCTTTGACGTAATTGCCCCAGCTCTTGAACGACTCCTCGGGGAGAAAATCGTCTTTTGTGCACGAGCACCCCCTCTTCCTCACCCCAACAGCTTGGTCGCCTTCCATATTTCTGATGCCTGGAGAGAGTTTCCTGTTTGTTTACCCGCAAAACGGAAAATAAAAGGAAGGGAAGAGTGTGGAGTTCAATGTCTCATCTCCAAGGACACATGAACAACAAATATTAGACTTTTCGTTCGGCAATTGCCACCAAAGTAAAATATATTTATATGTAAAAGCCACATCAATGATTAATCATCGATATGAACAAGAAGGAAAAATTTTATTGAAAAAATGCCTATATTATTAGTATACATCGATTTCTAGAGCAATAAAGGAATATATATATATATATATATATATTTTAAACATTTGCAAAATTTTCGGAATAATAATTGTGACGGCCTTGTCAAGGAGAGCAATGTGAACCACAACCATCCATTATTAGAAAGCGACTTTGTTGAAACGAAGAATATTGATACAGCCTAGCAGCAAAATTAATCCACTAGATGACGAGAAAAGAGTAAAAAGACGGTGTCATGCCCTCAAATCGGGATTAGTGATGTGGATGCTCGTTTAGAAACTTAAACCTGTTTGAGAGAGTGATTAGCAAATGTTTTAATTTCTTTTAAATCTAAAACATCCAGGTATTTCTAAACGAGCCCCTTTTTCAAGAGGAATTCAATTTCAAAAAGGGTGGTGGAATTTCCAACCAAACCAATTTAAAACCACGTCCCTGGTATCAAGTCAGGAATTCCCACAGGTGTTTAGCATACATGAATATAAACAAAAGTAAATGTGACATCAACCACAGTCTAGTAATATTTAAGTTTACAATCCATAATCTTTTATACATGCCTTGAAATAAAAGATACGAGGAAAGACAACTCTTCACTTTCCGAGGTCAAGTCCATGTCACCGGTAGTAGCTACCTACTCCGCACTACTCCTCGCGTCGCCTGGAAGGGTTTAATACATTTGAAAATAAGAAAGGTGAGCGAAAAGCCCAGTATGATATAATTTTATAAAGCATTTAAAATAAAGGTACTCACAGTCCAAAGATATACACCCGGAACCGGTCATCCCTTTTTAGAAAAGGAAATACTCACATAGTAGAAAATATCTGTATAATGAAAGTGTGCAGCTCATCATACCACTAAACAAGAAGCGGTAAAGATGTCTACCAAATGAAAAGTGCAGAGCCATAATTCCACTAAACAAGAAGTGGATCCGTACAAGTTTCGGGACTTGCCCCCAAGGATGTGATTCCCACATCCCGATCTCTGAGGCCACCATGCGTTATATCATTCCTTAAAATATTTTATTTTAAGAAATGATACTCTTTAAAATCTCATTTCCAAAATCATTGGAAAACTTAATAGCATTCTCATGCTATTCCTTTGAAATCATTTTCTTTAAACAGGTTTTGTTCTAAAACATTTTCATTGGCTAAAACCATTTAAAGTAAGGCTAACAAGGATATGGACAAGAATATCCTACCTGTTGGATATCAAACCTGTGGCTGTCTTCACGTAGCCCTAGCTCCGCTTGCCTTCGCGGCTCTAATTCCAATCGTGCCACTATCTTTCCCATCAAAATCAACAATTTAGATTTTGACCCTTCTCATCAAACATTCTCGTTTAATTAGATGCAATTGTATTATATTAGTGTGTCATAGTTCAAAATCAATGTTCATAAACAATTCTTAATTCAAATCATGATTCTTTGACAATGAAAATTTATTCCGGAGAATCGAATGGAAAACAAGGATTCATATGGCTAATCCACTCATTTTGAGTTCTCAAATGAGGTTAGGTCAATCCCACGTCGAATTTCGTTGTCAAAACAGGGTTTTAGGACTGTTTAGGGTCGGTTTCAGTGGGAACCGGTCGACCGGTGACAGAGGAGTGTAACTTCACCTGTCGGCCGGTGGAGAGGTGACCGGTCGACCGGACCGGCCGACCTGTGGAAGGGTGACCAGTCGACCGGTGGGGAAGAGTTCCAGGGCCAGTCATCGCTGATTCGCGAGGAACAAAGCCAAAAGCTGTAAATTTTGGGTTCGATTTCGACATATTCTCAGGAGAAATGTATAGATCCAGTTTCAAATCAACAAATGGGGTCCGAAGAATCAAAAACCCCTAATTTTCATCAAGGTTTCACCAAATCCCATTCGAGTTCCATTCGAAAACAAATTTAAGCCAAAAACCACCAAACTCGACTAAAACGAGTTGTACAAAGCTAAATCCGAAAATCTAAAGTAAGTTTCAAAGAGTTTTACCTCGATCCAAGCTTTGATGTTGAAAACCTCTTGGAAACCTCCGTTTTTGGTTTAAAGTCGGCCCTTGAGAAAGAAAACTTTGAGAGAGAGAGGGAGAGATGAACGGGAGAGGGAGAGAGAGTGTGTGTGTGTGAGGGAGAGAACTCGGGAGATTGAGAAAGGGAGAGAGAGAGAGTAACGTTAGGAGGGGAAAGAGAAAAGAAATAAGGAAAGAGGAAAAGGAGAAATAGAAGGAAAAGAAAATTGGGAAAAATATTAAGGAAAAATTAATAAAATAAATAGGGGTGAAATTACAAATACTAAGAATAAATTTAAAAGTTCATGATTAATTAAGAAAGTCAATTTAGGCACACTAATAAACCATAATTATCATAATTAAACAAGTTTAATTCCGGGGGGCGTTACAATCTACCCCCCTTAAGAAATTTCATCCCTGAAATTAAAATTTACCTCATTATATGAACAGATACGGATATCGTTCCTGCATCGTCGTTTCCAATTCCCACATTGCTTCTTCAACGCCATGGTATTGCCAAAACACCTTCACTAACGGTATCTCACGTTGACGTAGGCTTTTCATCTTCTGGTCAAGAATCTGTATGGGTGCTTCCTCGTTAGTCGTCTCATACTGGATCGGCACGTCATACCATTGCACAATGGTTTCTGGATCGGGTTGACACTTCCGAAGCATAGAAACATGGAACACATTGTGCACGTGAGACAATTCTGGAGGAAGATCGAGGCGGTAAGCAACGACATCGACTCGTTGGGTGATATGAAATGGCCCGATGTACCTCGGCGCGAGTTTTCCCTTCACACCAACACGAGTAACCCCTTTGTGTGGAGAGACTCTTAACAAGACAAAATCGCCCTCCGAGAACTCTAAGGGTCTATGCCTCCTGTCAGCATAACTCTTCTGACGACTTTGAGCCGTTAACAGTCGTTCTCGAACCACGGCTATTTTCTCATTATTCTCCTGGATAACATCCGGTCCAAGGGTCAGTCGATCTTCTGACTCAAGCCAACAAACTGGCGATCTGCAAGGTCTGATAATTGTTGTAGGCCTCGAATGGTGCCATCCCAATGCTACTCTGATAACTGTTGTTGTAGGCAAACTCAGCTAAATGGAGATACTTCTTCCAGTTTCCACCAAAATCTAGAATGCAAGCACGAAGCATATCCTCCAAAATCTGAATAACTCTCTCAGATTGTCCGACAGTCTGAGGATGAAATTCGATGCTGAAATTCAGTTCGGTTCCCATGGCTTCTTGGAAACTTCTCCAATATCTAGCGTTGAAACGAGTGTCACGATCTGATGTGATAGACAACGGAACTCCGTGAAGTCTGACAACGTGCTCCAGATACAACTCTGCTAGAATTTTCCTGGAATAAGTCACACGAAAGGGAATGAAGGGCGCGGACTTCGTTACCCTATCCACAACGACCCATATGGCATCCTGCCGATGTTCAGTCCTCGGTCATCCCATTAGAAAATCCATCGTAATGTGTTCCCACTTCCATCCAGGAACAGGAAAAGGTTGTAGTTCTCCAGCAGGTTTTTAATGTTCAGCCTTGATTCGAAGACAAGTCGCACATTCTGACACATATTGGCGAACATCCTTCTTCATACCTCTCCACCAATACTGTCTTTTAAGGTCTTGATACATCTTGGTACTCCCAAGGTGAATAGCAAACCTCGATTTGTGAGCCTCGTGAAGGATTGTCTTCTTTATCTCATCCACTTGAGGAACGGCAAGGCAATTCCTGAAGTAGAGTGTTCCATCCTCCTGAATATTCCATTCGTCCAGTTTTTCTCCATTCTGAACTCGAGTCCAAATCCCCTGAAGATGGGAATCCTGCCATTGGTTCTGCTTGACTTGTTGTATAAGAATGGGCGTTAAAACCAAGTTGTACTCCATAGCTTGGTTAGAATCCTCATAATACTGAAGATCATAGTCACCTACAATTTCACTCCGTTTCCAATCTTCCAATGCCAAATATGCTAGGATTCCTGGAGTCTTTCTGCTGAGAGCGTCTGCTACCACGTTGGCTTTTCCAGGATGATACTGCAAGGTGAAGTCATAATCCTCCATATATTCCATCCATCTTCTATGTCTCAGATTTAAGTCCTTCTGAGTGAACAGATACTTCAGACTCTTATGATCAGAGAATATCTGGAATTTTACTCCATAGAGGTAGCATCTCCATATCTTGAGAGCAAAAATCACTGCTGTTAACTCTAGATCATGCGTGGGGTAGTTCTGTTCATGTGGCTTCAGTTGATGAGATGCATATGCCATAACATGTCCATTTTGCATCAGAAAACACCCAAGTCTTCATCTTGATGCATCGGAATACACCTCATACGGCTCATCGCTATTAGGAATCGTCAGAATCGGCGCACTAGTTAGCCTAGTCCTCAGTTCTTGGAATGCATGTTCACAATCGGCATCCCATTCAAACCTGACTTCCTTTTCAGTCAACCGAGTCATTGGGGCAGCAATACTCGAGAAATCTTTTACAAATCATCGATAATACCCCGCAAGTCCTAGGAAGCTTCAAATTTTGGCTACGTTCTTTGGTCATTCCCATTGTAGCACCGTTTCAATCTTTACGGGATCCACTGAAATTCCTTGTCCAGATATAACATGTCCAAGGAACTTGACTTCTGTCAACCAGAAATCACATTTCTCCTTCTTTGCATAAAGATGGTGTTCTCGAAGAGTCTGGAGAACGATCCTCAAATGTTGTTCATGCTCTTCCCAAGTCTTTGAGTAAACCAGGATGTCGTCAATAAAGACTATCACAAACTGGTCTAAATATGGGCAAAAGACTCGATTCATCAAATCCATAAAAGCAGCAGGAGCATTCGTCAATCCAAAAGGCATTACTAAGAACTCATAATGCCTATAGCGAGTTTTGAAAGCTATTTTTGGAATATCATCTTCCCTAATCTTCAACTGATGATACCCAGATCTCAAGTCAATTTTTGAGTAATACTGTGATCCTCCCAG